GATTTTACTATCCTGTCTTGCTCGGAGGAATTTTCGTTTAATTCTAAACTTGCATAATGATTTTTAAGCTCAGTGAGTAGTATTCCCTGACCTCTCGCACCACCACCTTCAACCATATCCCTGCCCAATAATTCTTCACACTGAGAATTGGGTTGTTGAACCGACCCGTTCACAACCTTACCGTTGACAGGGAGACCTAGTAACATGTACACATCCTCTAGCGTGACGGTACATTCACCTATTGGTAGGTGAAATGTATGGGTCTCTGGTCTCCACCTTTCCAACATTACAAGAATGAACTTCGAATCAATTGTGCAGTTGGAGATCTTTATAACATGTTTGAAACCTGCGTATTCCAGATATGGTACGATAAATGGGTTAGGAGCCAGGTAGTTGTGAGACCGGATTCTGAATCTTTTGGTATCCTGAGTTAATTATGTAAAAGATGTAAGATTAAGTAAGATGAACTTAGCATTACCTTAAGTATAAATAATGTATAACCAAATTAGAAACTTACAAATGCGGCAATGTTTTCCCTTGTGCCTCTGTGAGAATCGCCCATTGTTAGAAGAGCCATTGTTTAAAATGCTTGAGATTATGAAAGACTTAGAAAGTATAAGAGATTATGAAAGACTTAGAAAGTATAAGAGATTATGAAAGACTTAGAAAGTGTAAGAGATTATGAAAGACTTCGTAGCAGAGAGTGAGACGAGTGTGGGTGTGAGAGAAGTATGATATGGTCTGTATTTATAGACAAAAAAATTTCATAGAGTGAGTGAGGTGGTAGCTGGCGCATGCATGTATGAGAGGTGTCACTCTTGCAGGCTAGATGGCAGCCTAGGGGGTTACATATTTGCATGCATGTAACACGATTGGACATTAAGGGAGGCGCCATTGGACTTGGCGAAAGAGTACAAAAATGAAAGGTGTCGCCATCCCCATTGGCGAATAAGAGGTGTCATTGGTTGCAGAGTAGGCTCAGGCTACGTGACAGCCTTTGGGATGCCATGCCTGAATGCATGTAACACTATTGGAGTTGATGGGAGGAGACTTATAAGTTACAGTGTAGGTGCAGAGTAGGCGCAGGCTAGGTGGCAGCCCAGGGGGTTACATATCTGCATGTATGTAACACGATTGGACATTAAGGGAGGCTCCATTGGACTTGGCGAAAGAGTACAAAAATGAAAGGTGTCGCCATCCCCATTGGCGAATAAGAGGTGTCATTAGTTGCAGAGTAGACTCAGGCTACGTGACAACCTTTGGGATGCCATGCCTGAATGCATGTAACACTATTGGAGGTGATGAGAGGAGACTTACAAGTTATAGTGTAGGTGCAGAGTAGGCGCAGGCTAGGTGGCAGCCTAGAGGGTTACATATCTGCATGCATGTAACACGATTGGACATTAAGGGAGGCGCCATTGGACTTGGCGAAAGAGTACAAAAATAAAAGGTGTCGCCTTCCCCATTGGCGAATAAGAGGTGTCATCAAAGCACATTTCAACGGTGAGACATACATTTGTCCCACCTCTGGGTTTTTGTTTAGAGACACAGACAACATTCGATTTCTTTTAAACGGGAAATCCAATTTCTCGTACTTCAAAAAATGATTAGAGGCCAAACTTGGACGAGGCCCGGTGACACAGATATTTTATCAGAATCCAGTTTTTTTGGAAACAACCAAATAATTTTTTATAAGGTTGAAGTTCAAGATGACGAGGATCTCCAGAAAATGTTTTTCAGCCATGTGTATTCTGGGTACGACTCTATTGAGTTGTACATTATGTTGCGAGAGCCTCAGGTGACACAAGTGGTTGATCCTTTGGAGAATGAACAAGCTGAGGTAGATACAGTTGATGAAGAAGAAGAAGATGATGAGTTAGAGTTTGATGAAATGGTGAATGATGATTCCGACGATGATGGCATACCTAGTATTCCTGCAAACGAAATCTACACACCACCTCCGCACATGAAAAACTTCAACATGGGCGGAGATGAACCGTCTACTGATTTATTTTTCAATCCGTATATGCAGTCAGATGAAAACTTAAAAGAGAAGGAAAAGTTTCATAATAGAGAGGAATGCATCAGAGCCATAAAAAAATTCCACATGCTCAACTCGGTTGATTTTAAGGTGGACCGTGTCAACCCAGAAAGGTACAAGATCAAGTGTGTCCACCCTGATTGTATGTTCAAGATGACTGCATCATACAGATTAAGAGGTGATTGTTGGGTCATAGGTTCCATGACTACCCACACTTGTGTAAGTTCTACCCAATCACAGGATCACCGAAAACTTAATTACGATCTCATCTGTCAAGAAATCCTACCACTGGTCAGCAACGACCCATCTTTGAAGGTGAAAACAATCATCTCCTACATCACCACGGTTTTTAACTATACTCCGTCTTACCGTAAGGCGTGGTTAGCAAAGACTAAGGCGATTGAAAAGGTGTACGGAAACTGGGAGGAGTCATACCAAGAACTTCCTCGCTACCTGAATGCACTCAAGACGTATTCTCTGGGTACTGTTTACGTTCTGGAAACAGTTCCAGCATACGCCCAAGATGGTAGTCAACTAAACGACAACGGAATATTCAGTCGAGTGTTTTGGGCATTTCAACCTTGCATCACAGGGTTTGTATCATGCAAACCAATTATACAAATTGATGGGACTTATTTGTATGGGAAGTACAAAGGCACGCTACTGATGGCAGTTGCACAAGATGGAATCAACAACATTTTTCCCCATTGCCTTTGTCCTAGTCGAGGGGGAGATCGGTGGTGCTTGGAGCTTTTTTTTGAAAAACCTGCGGGCACACATGGCTCCTCAACCAGATTCTCTGTTTGATCTTGGACAGACATGCCTCCATTGAAAGTGCCTACAGTAATCCTACAAAACGGTTGGCATGACCCTCCTTCTACGCATGTCTATTGCGTTAGGCATATCGTCCAGAATTTTACGAGGGAGATCAAGGAAAAAACACTAAGGAAAGCGGTTATGAATGCGAGATATGCATTGACACAACCCACATTCAAATATTACCGCAATGAGATCTGTTTGTCAAATCCAGAAGCCGGTAGATGGATCGACAATATTCCGGTGGAAAAATGGACTAGGTCATACGACAATGGCCAAAGATGGGGGCACATGACAATGAATCTTATTGAATCAATGAATGGGGTATTCAAAGGCATATGAAACCTCCCGATCACTGCTTTGGTAAAATCTACGTATTTTTAGGATGGTTGTGTTGTTTGCCAAAAGAGGTGAAATGTGGAATGCGGTGTTGTAATCTGGACAACTATGGAGTGAAAGCTGCATGAAATACATTAAGGCAGAAAGTGCCAAAGCCAACACTCATATGGTTATACGATTTTAACCGACACAGCCACAACTTCATTGTGAATGAGACAATCGACCACAATGAAGGCCTGCCAAGACAAGAATATAGGGTCATGCTACCTTCTCGTTGGTGCGATTGTGGCAGGTTTCAAGCATTTCGTATGCCTTGCTCTCATGTTATTTTCGCTTGTGCTTATACCCATCAAGACGCGCTGCAACTTCTGTCACACATTTACAAATCTGAAACGTTGCTCAACGTTTACAACAACAGCTTTCCTTTGGTAGCAAAATCAGATTATTGGCCTGCATACGACGGCGAAATAGTGTGGCACAATGACCAAATGCGAAGGAACAAGAAGGTTCGTCCCAAAAGTAAACGCATCACAACAGAAATGGAAGATCTTGACAAGCTGGAAAGAAAGTGTGGTTTATGCCGTCAGGTCGGACACAATCGCAAAAATTGTCCGAATCGGGCGTCTTCCTCGACCACATAAAAATTGTAATACATAAAATCTTTCCTTAATTATGTTGTAAACATTAGGGTTTTCCGTTAACAGATTTTGTTACAATAAATATTGCGCGTACAAGAAAAATACACGATATTCCGTCTACGAAATTACAACTGTTAACACAATTTCATCTGACCCATGCATCATCAACATTACATCGTTGTCTGTTTTGACTTTCTCCAACCATACATTAGGTCTTCCTGTCGCATGTGAGGTTGTTGTTCGTCTTCGTTGGATCCTTCGAATTTTTTCCCCCTCCGCAATGTCTCCATCTAGCCATCGCATCAACTCCCGCTTCAGACGCTCCATGGAGTGAATGTGCCAGAATTTCATTTTCATCGCAGGCTTCGTGGCGGAGAAGATAACGTAACCATCTCTGCTAAAAATCATGGGCGATGTCATGATGCAAATAACAAAGTAAAAAATAATAAAACAGTGCGAGAAAGTGTGAGAAACGACGGAGAAACGGACAAATTATTTATAAAACTGCATTTTGCCCTAGTTTTGCCCTAGGAGTCAAGTGAGATGGCGCCTCCTCTCACTTTTAAAGTGCATGCGCCATCTCACTTGGCTAAAAGTGAGAGGAGGCGCCAAGTGAGATGGCGCCTAGGGCAAAACTAGGGATGGAGGCGCCAAGTGAGATGACTCCTCCTTTGGAGAGTCATCTGAAACATGGTTATTTGCGTAATTTTTTCCGAAACGCGGTTATTTCCGAAATTTTATTTTAATACCTGATTATTGTAAAAAAAAAAAAAATCCTAATTTGGTGTCCAAGAAATGGTAGAACTTGTTTTTCAAAATTGGAATCCATATATATATATATATATATATATATATATATATATATATATATATATATATATATTATATATATATATATATATATATATATATATATATATATATATATATATATATATATATATATATATATATATATATATATATTGCTGGTGTAATCCCTTACATCACTTCTAGTACTTTATCTTGATAGGGAAAACAGCCTCTGGATTATCATAATAATGCGTGTGATATCTGTTTACTCATCTAGTCAAGAACATGTAGGCTGAAAATTATTATGTTAATCTTCCAAAGCACCTCAAGACTCAAACTCTTAAACAAATATTCCACATAGTTGAAGTGTATCAATGGCTACAAATCAGGAAGAGGTGAAGCTTTTGGGAGCTATGGGAAGCGCATTTGTGTGTAGAGTACAGATTGCTCTCAAGTTGAAGGGAATTGAATACAAATTTGTTCAAGAAAACATAGCCAACAAAAGTGATCTACTCCTCAAATACAACCCGGTTTATAAAAAGATTCCAGTTTTTGTTCACAATGAGAAGCCTATATCAGAGTCTCTGGTGATTCTTGAATACATTGATGATACCTGGAAACAAAATCCCATCTTGCCTTCTGAACCATATCAAAGAGCCTTGGCTCGGTTTTGGTCCAAGTTCATTGATGAAAAGGTAAAAATGTTGAGTTTTAAATTGTGGTCTTGTACCTTAAAAATATGTAACTTTGGAAATATAATTAAAATTTTGAAATGATCAGATTGTGGCTTGCTTCTATTAAAGCTGTTCATGTCGTTGATGATGATAAAGAGCGTGCGAAGAATGTTGCAGAAACATTTGAGGCTCTTCAGTTTCTTGAGAATGAGTTGAAGGAGAAGTTCTTTGGGGGAGAAGAGATTGGTTTTGTGGATATTGCTGCTGTGTTCATAGCTTTTTGGATCCCTTTGATTCAAGATGTAACAGGGTTGCAATTGCTCACTGCTGAAAAGTTTCCAAAGCTTTACCAATGGAGCCAAAAATTTCTCAACCATCCAATTGTTGAGCAATGTCTGCCTCCTAGAGACCCTGTTTTTTCGTATTTCAAAGCTCACTATGATAGCCTCTTTTTATCGAAATAGACCCAGAATTTCTAGTTTGTGAACTATTATTATCTTTCATTGAGATTTGCAGTTAGGGTTTTATTTCAAAATCATAGTTTGTATCTGATATTTCTCCATGTGAAATCTAAGGATATTGATGTCATTTTTCCATATTTCAATTAATACAGAAAAGGGTATCTTTCTATCGTAACTTATGGTTAAGAAACCTGAAGTAGATATAACCATACAGTAAACATAAAAGCTATAAAGTACAGACATGGACACTATGGACACTACAATGACACTAACACATCAACAATGGTAATGACACACAAAGACATGTACATTAGACACGACAATTACACTAACACGTCAACAGTGGTAATGAACATACATGGGCACTAGACACGATAGTGACACTAATACGTCAACGGTGGTAATGACACACAAAGACATGAACACTGGACACGACAATTACACTAACACGTCAACAGTGATAATGAATACTAGAGGACCAAGGAAAGAGTAATCAAAGGCCAGGGGGAATGTTTTAAATACCCGGAGAGCAGACTGATGGTGAAGTTCAGTAAGAGAACTCATAAACAGGCTTAAATGTTGAACTGCTAAACATGATATTAGGCTGGGGGGTTGTAAGATAAAGCAAATTGCTAACCAATCTACGAAATGCAGAAGGATCTGAAACCAAAAGAGCAGAATCTTGATGTAAACACACAGGCAGATTCAAAGGAATGCTAGCAGGTTCACAACTTTTACGTCCAGCACGAGAGAGAAACTCGACGCAATATTTCTTTTGACAAAGATGAGAATAAGCAACATCCAAATCAAAGAAGTATTTGA